TTTACTTTTCAATCTTTTCTGGGTGGAAATGAAAGGTGATTTGGGCTAACTTCCACCCCAACGACACAGTGAGGCATATTGCAGCGCACTCCAAGCTACTATAAATTATTCCTGCCTGGTTGCACTTGCAATTGTCAAGCTCTTCCTAAAGAGGGCGCTCTAAACCAATGGATTAATTATGTGGATTTGATGCCATTAACACGAAGGATCAAAATGGAAAAAAAAAGTTAAATGGAATGATGCTTTTACTGTAGATTGATGTCTCTCTGGCCTTTAAAAGCAAGGATGAAGTAATTTAATTTTGTATTTGCCATTCTTTTAATCAAGTAAATTGATGGGAAAGCACAAGAGTGAGTGCCTCAGAGAAAAAAATGCAAATGGAAACCGAAATATGGACCACCCACAGCCTCCGCATGTGTTGACACTGATATATTTCTTCACATGAATTAAGGAGCCGTTTGAGAGAGGACGGTTCATATACCCACATGAAGACACAAACCACACGGTGGAATACCAGACATTAGTGTCTGCATAGTGAACCCTTGAGCTGTAGCATGAGGGAGTAAAAACACCACATCACTCACACCCAAACCAAATATGCACATGTTATAACAGGCGGAATATAGTCAGGGCTCTCTAGAGTCCAGATGACAGAATAGGGAGCAGACAAAAGGCTAATGCGACTCGGTGGCCAAGCGTCACTAGAATCAAGGGGTCGGAGCAGACAGTAAACATCACCCAAAAGAGCTGGGCTCTGCTCGTGCCTGCAGGTAACTGCATCCCCTGCTTGTTAATTTAATATGCTCGTCAGGTCTCCCTCCCCCTTCTACGCTTTTTTTTCTTAAGATTTTATTGGGGAATTGGGGGAGGGAACAGCGTTGGGGAATCAGAGAAGGGGAACAGTCAAGTTTCTGTCCTTTTGTTCCTCAGTCTAGTTGTAGAGGACGTCGCTTCTTTGGCCCATGTTGGTATTATCATTGTGCTCTTCCCAGCTGAGGCAGATCTGTCGCTGGCCTCTGGACGGCCACTCATGGCAGTTCACACTGGCTGCCGGCCACTCACAGTAGCTTATGGCAATCCACTGCCACAGGGACTGCAGCCTACGCCGTCGCTGGCAGCTCACGGCAGCCCAGCTCCAGGTCGAGCTGTTGTTCACCATCTTAGCTGTAGAGGGCAGTGTCGCTGGCCCTCAACGTGGGATCTGAACCGGGGCCCTGCTGCTCAGAGCTGGTGTCCCAAGCCAACTCTTAACCCACGCGC